CCAGCTTTCAGTTCTTAAATTCCGCAAAATCATATAGAAAACTTACATTCTTATAAATCTTTTGCCAACTTACTAAGCTATTCTTGCTTTCTGTTTAATTATTTTGAGCTTTCGCCGCAACAAGAACTTTTTAATAAGGATAAGCATTTATTTCATATTTTGGAGATGTTTCGTTTCTGCATCAGCATTGTTCATTTCTACCTTCATTTAAAGACATGCAACAAAATGAAGAGCCAGTAGGTAGCCTCTGTGCTGTAAATGGTCCATACAAAGATCACATGATAATTATAACACAAGTACTATATAACAAATATTTCAACTTACTGATCAGATTTTTCCAGTGATATCAATTTAATGCAATGTATGTCCATGTATTTATTATCATGTATGTAAAAACATCTTTTAAAAAACTGGCATAAAAACCATATTTTATTGTGCATTATATCTCTGTTATACTGGATAAAATAATTTTGTTTTCATCAAAAGTTCTTAAAACTATTAAAAAAAAAAATTCCCAGAAATGGCAATTCATGTTTACATCGCTGAACCTTTGCTATTCCTGTTTTAGAAACCAAAGGGAAAACCCACTAATTTGAACGTTAGCTGGATCAGCCCTTTTCTTGTCAGTGAGTTTGTCATTCTGATATTCAGTGTGCTGCATTTTAGTAAATTTTAATTTGTTTCTGGTTTGGCATGTAATTCATGCTTTGTCAGTATCAAACATGGTAACGGATAAGTGAAATACCCTTCAGATGTGATGCGGCAACTGGTCATGAAATCAGTAGAAATCTCACTATAACACATGACTATTTCCAATAACGAAATATAATTTCTATAGTCAAAGATGTTATTGTCAATGAAGTACTAGAATTCTTTGTCAAGCTGAATTATTCAAGTTTTTAAGCTTCAAAATAGTCGATCCAACATAACAGAAATAATGTAAATCCAAAATCTTTGATTATACTTGAAACTCAGCTCACCAAAAGAAACCCGCACTAGTACAACTGGTTTTGAAAATAAGGTAGCTTTTTACTTTGAGAATGTCTGTGACGGCAAAATACAAATTGCAACTAAGTGAGAAAAATCTTTCATCTCTCATAGAATGCAATAAGGGTAAAAAAATCCTATCCTAGCTTCCAGCATTTGAATTCAGGTATCTGAAATGTGGAAATTTAGACACCATATTTTCTGACTATGGAGTTTCCAGGGTCCCTTTCTCCAGAAAAACAATTTATAGTGCATAAATTAGGAGTAATCTAGGTTTAGAATGACAAAAATAGGATGTTTAATATTTCATATTTTCTTTTTCAGTTTTAGCAGGTGTGTCAAGAAAATGTCTACATTTCTTCACTGAACTGGGAGAGTTCCAGTGTTAGAATGTTTCTCTTCTTAAAGACAAATAAGGAAGTATTTTACCAAAGTACTTAGTATGCAGGGTGACAAAATGGTAAGAGAAAAAACTACTACCCAGGTTTACAAAAGTGATGCAACCCGAGTTTGTAAGCTTCTCTATTCAACAGTATGTAATATTCCTTATTGATTAATAATCCTGTAGTCTTATCACAGCATTCCTCACATTCCACATCTGGAATATTAGTTGCAGAAGGACAACACAAATAAACAAGTTAATTCAGGTAGGCTTTCACTTCTAAAATTATATACTACTGCACTTCAAGTCCCTGTATGCTAAAATAAGATGACAGATACAGTCTTAGGAATCAAAAATCCATCTGAAAAATCCCTTCTATTTAGGAAACTATCATTCTTATTTATTCAGAAAACTAAACTCTATCTTGCACTATAATTGAAATTCTTTAAACTGTATCTACTGTGTGAAAAACCTGCAGAAACCCCATATTTTATACAAGATATGATGAGTTACAACAATTAGCATCTACAGAATACTACCTGACAGGGTGTGATTTCAATTTAAAAAAAGTTTATACTTACTATTACTGTGAGCCAATGTTAATTTCCCTCAGATACTTGCTTTCTATTATGGACTCTCTGTGAGTAGTTTGCTTTTCTAAGCTCATGAAGGATGGGCTTGCTGTCTTGCTAAGGCTTAACAGGATAACAAGTTCAAAGTTTTTTTTTTTTTCCTTTGGATTTATCCACTTCTGTACTGTCAACTCCAGTCAGCAATGATATTACTGTATACACATACCCTTCCCACTGAGGCAATAAAAGACTACTAGTTATTTAACTCTTTACAGCTAAAACAGTTAAGAAAAATAATAACTCAACTTACTGGGGTTTTACAAAACGTTAGTTTTGTCTGAAAAGTCTTAATCCAGCAGATTACCTAATTAAAATTAACTATAAAAGAAGCAGCAACGTTGTTCACAGTCTTGCTCCACTTCTTTTTCTATTTCTGTCTCCTAAGCTCAGAATCTGATTAGTATATTTAATTCCATGAAGCATCATGACTGGTCTACCTTTAATCAGCCTGTTGACATCCACCCCTTTTTCCTTCACATGTTGTAGAATCAAGATAATAATTTACCAACTTGCAAATATTCTTAAAAACCCAGAAAATGTAATGTTCAAGCTATAGTATCAACACTGGAATGATTTTATTTTTCACGTGTTTACACATATCCAATATGAAAAATTAGATAAAAGAAGTATGCTTACAGGGACCAATGCAAAGTTTGTAAAAATCTCACAATTGTACTTACATGAGATGTCATTATGTCACATAAGTTTACAGCTTGGTTAGTAGTATCCATTTTGTATTGTGTTTAAACACTTCATGTATTTTTTTTTCCACTTTATTAAATAACTATTTCTGTTATTTGTAAATTATTACAATTTCAAAACCAGATAAAACAGAATATTTACAAATTATAACCGAATAGAAGTTATTTCTCATTAGTCTACAGGCAAATTGGGAGAAAAGGCATCTCCAGAATTTTCTGCCTTTTACATCTACATGTAATGACTACTCTTTTTGCTTTGGTATCATTGCAGAAGCAAGGGAGAAGAGGGTGAGATGATTATTACACAGCGTGAACAAAACCTCTCTATTTTTAATGGTTTAAGGAATACTATCTTCTTAATGTGCTGCATTAACTTAGTGGCAAGAAACAGCCTGCTTGAAAAGCTGCAGTGTTCTGGATAAGGCAAACAAATCTTATGGAGGTGTTGCCCCGACCATATTCCAGTCAGAACCACTACACCATCTGTTTAATTGTTGCTAAATTTAATTTGGCACTTTTCTAAATTGCTGTAGTTCTAAATAACTACAGTATTTGCCTCTTCAGTTGGATATTTCATACGTAATCTGCAAACAATAACTATCCAGAAAATTTCTATGCATAGGTACTTTCAAACTAGAACTCAATCCCATGACTTACAAACAGGTCAAATTAAGCAACAAAAAGCCAGGAAAAGGTTCACTTTAAATAAGTGAAGGTTCACTTTAAATAAGATTAAAATTATCAAATTAATTTTCTTAAGGTATGTTTGTCATCCTCTGTGTGAATGGTTCATCTGTTGGAGAAGGAAAAAAGAAAAGCTTAAAAAAGGACTGTTGATTTAGCTTTTGAAAATGTAGATATATTAAAAATTGTTGAAACACGAGAAGTTATTAGAACTGAAAGATCATTAAAATATTACTGTTTTCTGTAATATTATTGGCTGTTTTCTTTTTCAATCTGTCCTTTTTCTGCCTTTTTCATGCAGTAAGGTGAAGTTTTTCAAATTATTTATTAGCACTGTAATTGCAGATGTGTTATTTATATAAATGCTCAATTAAAAAAATAGTCTGATTCTTAATATCAGTTTTGGTTATGGATACCTTCTTCTCAGTTTCAGCGTTACAAACCCATCCCTATAGCAACCCACCGTAAGTTCCTACATAAAAAACTAATAGAATGGGTCTTATACATGTACTTTTAGCTACCACATTGTGATAAATTATACATCTTTATGCTACCTATATTTGCTCTTTGCTTTATCCTCCCTCTTCCATCCGCTCCTCATTCCTTCCTTGTTCATCTTTCTTAATGTGTAGTCATCATAGTACTAGTTAAAAATTCCTTCCACTGCTTAGCTTCCACCACTGTTTGCATATTGTCCAATGTCCTCCTTTACTTGTATGAACAACCTGCAACTAGGCTTCCTTCTGTCCCACAATTTAAAAGATTAATTCACTGATAACATGTGGTCCTGCTGACAGCTGTAGTCATGACAGCTTTTCATACTTCCCCTTTTCTGTGAAGGCAATCTTTAAGGGAAGTAGTGTATTTTCTTCATTTGTAGGTGTAGCTGAAACAAGGGAGAAAATGAAACAATGTAATGATTTGTCAACAGTTCCCAGTCTGTCAGAAATTCTTACTGCTTTAAAGTTTGATATGCATTGCCTTAACCAAAAAAAAAAAGGCTGATGAGCATAGTATGACGCTGGATGGAAAAAAAGAACTATTAAGATTTGTAAAACATTTTTACTGATTGCAGAGAATTTTGAAACAAATCTGACACCATTCACTGATTAAAAAATATTCAAATTACTCTAAAGAAACAAGTTAATATTTATGACTACTGTTGTATTTCCTTTGGGTCATTTGCATTTCTTTTTATATCAGAGGAGGATTTTACGTATAGGAGGATGTAAACATGGAGTTTAAACTGCAGGCAAGGTCAGGCCTCTCTGTGATTCCTTCCAGCAGGGGACATGAAACACCAAACATTAAAAGCAAAAAGCAAAATAATTTGATTCTAAAACAAAAAAGCAGCCTATGCTATGCTACGTATGCATAGCCTATGCACAACAAGGTACCAATTTTATCTAATTGTTGCTTGCTTGCTTGGGATAATCACTGGGTTGTTGTCCAGTTCTAACTCAGATCTGAAAAAAACTACAAAGGTTTGCATAGTTTAGCTCAGGAATCAAAGGAAAGGCTCAAAAATTTACATGGTCGCACAATTCTTTCTAATTTATTCCTAATTTAGCACTCATTAAAAGTAATTTAATTTAAAGAAATCAATTATTGATATTAAAGATTAGCATTCATTCCAATCCAATGTTTTATCAACTGGTGTGCAATAGCTTGACTTGGTGGTACAAAGAAAGAACGCTGGTTTCCTTTAATGAGAACTTCCACAACCTGCAAAGAAGACAGATTTTTTTTCTTTAGAAGATAATATTATAAACGATACGGAATCTAACATTGTATTAAGGCAGGAATTATCTTACTATGATGATCCATCAATCCATCATTATTACAGCTATTAAATAGACACCACCAGATTCTCCAGGACAGATAAAGAGAAAAAAAAAACCACACAAGACAAGAATTCTATGTGAATTCTGACATTTTTGAGCTCAAAAGTGCCCCAGAGGATACCTTCTTTCTAATACAACTGTGGAGATTGACTGTTATGCAAGGCTTTTGTGAAGCCTCTTTACGGTAACGACCACCAGATGGTGCTCTACACTGTTCCATAAATCCTTCCCACACCCGCAGGTAGTGAAGAAGGAAATGTATTTTGTTGGTTTTCTAAAGCAGATGCAAGTACACTTTTAGTGGAGTACATTTCTGAAGTACATTTATTTCCAACTCCAGACCAACCTGCATGTGACTAGCTGTATTCAGAACCGTTATCCATTTAAAATAATGCTCTCAGTGTTGTCAGGAATACACTGAGATTGTAGGTGACTATCTTTGCCTTAAAGTTGACTTACAGAGCCAAAACACTTGCAACTGCTAGGCAGAAGTACAGTGTTATTAAAAGTTTAGCTTATAAGTAGCCTGTGGAAAACCCTGTGAAGACTACGTTCTGTAAACAATCTTTCCTTTTTGCACTCATGAACTTAAATGTCTCTGTGAAAATCTTTTTTCCCCTCTCTTTTTATTTGACTATATTTTAAATACTCAGGAAAGCTAAGTGCAGAATTGCCTATTAATGCATAGTAAACTGCATTCAATATCAGAGTATTAAAATAGTAGTGCATGGAAAAAGATGTTCAAACTAATGAATTCCCAGTTTTCAGCTAAACCTCCCCAGTCCCAGCAAATCTGGTAGCACGCTTGTTTACAGAAACTCAGATGATGTTTTTATTAAATACTATTTCTAACAGAATGAAAAGCATAGACTTCATAAAAAAATGGGTTAAAATAACAATAACTTGGATATCTCCCAAAAGGAAAAGGTGAAGAGCTAACCAGCAAAAATGTCGTGAAATGGGCTTGCAAGTGACTCAGTAACTACCATGAATACCTGGATATGTGTAATCTACAATTACAATATATTGCAATTGTAGTAATGTAAAATGGACAGTATACATGCTCATTCAATTAGCTGAAAAAAGCAAGTATCTATTGTATGCCAGAATCAATACAGTTACAGACTAATCAATAGAAGAAGGAAATCAAATTGAACTTTACCTGTTCTCTAGTGAACCAGCGGGCATCCTCTATTTCAATATTGTCAACTTTAATTTCTGTAGACACTGCAAAAGCTAAGCAGCCAATCATTAGGGAGGAAGGCATTGGCCATGGCTGACAAGAGACATACTGAACATGGCCAACTTTGACTCCAGCCTCCTCTTCCACTTCTCTTCGAACAGCATCTTCTATTGTTTCGCCTAATCAAAAAGGGCAAAGAACAAGCCACTCATGAAAATAATCCAAACAATGATTATATCCTGTGCTTTGAATGGACTCAAAAGATTTGAAACTGCCCAAGACAATTATCTATAGAGATCTAGTTCACAGATCAGGGCACAGACCTTATGCACAAGATACAGAAGTCTAATAAGGTAAAACCAGCTACCAAAGCAAAGTTGAACTTTGAAAACAAAGTAAGATAATTTCTCCATCATAATGTTTATTTCCTGAATTAATCAGACACACAGACACAAACTATTACTATCACATCTAAAATGAAAAAAAAATGGGTAGGAAGTATATTGTTCCTTTAATCACTTTTGAAAAACTGATCTGTTAATTTATTATTGTGTTAATTTTTAGATTTTTCAGTATGATTGTAACAGAAGGCAACGCAACTTGAAAATCAATATTTAAAATTATAATAATAAGAAAATAGAGACTTAAGAAGACTTGCACACATTTCTGCATTGTATTATTCACTTTGCCTGACTCATATTTCATTGTCTTAACACATACAGACAATTCTCCAAACTCAAACTGCAATGGAAAGCTTTACTTCTGTTTTCATGGAAAACTGCTAGATATATCTGTGGAGTGTTGATGGTCACAGGCTTAACTACGCATACATGTGTTGTGTTGTAACCAGTGATTAAAGGTTCATCAAAGCAGATAGTCTATGCATCAGAGACAGATGTTTTACTTTGGCTATCTTCAGCTGATTAGAAGCTGAAAATGAGATCAGCTACTTTTAAATTTCAGTTTATACTGAATTCAGTATCAGAAAGTAATAAGGCTGGCAAAAAAAAGAAAGGAGTGAAGAAATGTGTGACTTTTTTCTAATGATACCTGAATAAACTTATTCACGATGTCACCACATTTCACCTGCACACAGTTACTGAATATAGTTAAACACTAAAATTTCACTGGTGATTAAGATGCATTCCCAATATAAGAATGTTTTACAAATTATTCTGCAGCTACTAATAACTGTAACTAATTCCAACCATTATTGCTGAACACAGCCAGGAAAATACCTCTTTTCTTTCAAAATTATACAATTTCTGCTTATCTTCCATATAATCAATCAGGCCCTAAAAATGTAAGTGTATGATTAACTTTATGTTAACTTTAAGTTATGCTTTAACTCTTATTTTTCCTACGCTAAAATCCTTTACTAAGTATCACCAAAGAAATGACCTTATATGTGTTTTAAAATATACTTATATACATATAATTACATATACGTATACATATATACATATACTTAAATATGTGATTTAGGAGTCCATGATGAGAAAACTATTTTTAAACTGTATTTACTCAAGTTGCTTTTTGTTATTTTTTTTATAAATCATCTGCTGGGAAGTACAGAACAGGCATATTTATTATAACAACTTACTTATCTAATAGGAAGCAAAACCATCTATTTCACATAACACTGAACATATTTCTATACTATTTTCAATATACAATACTGATACGCGAGAAAAACCATTTAACAACAGAAAATGAAATTACTTACCAGGTTCTACAAATCCAGCAAGACAGGTAAACATTCCTGGGGGAAACTTCTTCTGCCTACCTAAAAGGCAGTGGTTCCCATCTGGATGGATGACTTGCATTATCACAACAGGATCTGTAAGGGACATGAAAGGAATATATTAAACAATTGAGGGATTTAAAAGAAGTAATAAATTTCAGCCTGTTCAATACCAATACATGTAAATACAAATAAGATACCTTTAAGTGACTGAAATCAGAATTGTGCAGATGCTTAGAGCAAGCTGTTACTTTCCTTCACCTTGTTTTTTTTCTTTTTTTTCCCCTGCAAGATATCTGTTTATTTTGTTTTGCAACATACATGCTTAGTAGAAGCAGTTTACCAGCTAGGGCTTGAACTGCAGGACATAAATTACCTGCAGCCAAAGCACAGAATCTGTTGAGTATCAGCAATACCAACCTAGCTATGCATCCAGCAGATAGCAGTAACTTCTGCAGCAAAACCAGTTTATTATCACCTCCTCTACACACGCAGGTCTGAAGAATGTACTTTTGACTGAAATACCAAAGAAGAGCCAGATTATCTAGCTGCAGTGTAAACACAAGTAAAGTTTCCATTTTTGACTTTGTTGACTGTTTGCTCTCAATCCCTCATCTGACGCCACAATTTTATCTACTTTCTTACTCCTGGTTATTTTATGTATCTGTAATGGGTCTGCCCGAGATGCAGCCCTCATTGTGCTGTGCAATGGTAGCTTGATAACACACCACTGTTTTGACGACTGCTGAGTAGGGCTCACACAGCATCAAGGCTGTTTCCTCAACATTTCCCCAATAGGCTGGGGGTGGGTAAAAACTTGGGAGGGGACGTAGCCAGGACAGCTGACCCAGACTGTCCAAACGGATATTCCATACCACATGGTGTCTGCTCAGCCATATAAGCTGGGGAAAACAGGAAGAAGGGGAGGACATTCATTTTTGCGTTAGTCGTCCAGAGCGACCGCTACGTGTACCAGAGCCCTACTTCCCAGAAAGTGGCTGGACATCGCCTGCTGGTGGGAAGTAGAGAATAAGATCTTTTGTTTTGCTTTTGCTTCCGTGCGCGGCTTTTGCTTCATTAAACTGTCTTTATCTGACCCACTTGCCTGCTGTTATATTTTCTCTCCCCTGTCCAGCTGAGGGGGTGAGAGCGATAGAGTGGCTTTGGTGGGCACCTGGCATCTGGCCAGGGCCAAACTACCACAGCATCTTTTTCATTCTAGCTTAATACTTCTCCTATTGGTATCACTCTTTTTGTCACACATTTCTGCAGACTGTTCATCTATGACCTTTTTTCCCTTTTTTACTGTTATCTAGCTCTTAAGTATCTCAATGTTTTATTTTTAATTTTTTCTACCTAACTCTGCCTTTATATATTTTTTTGCCATTGTTTTTTATGGGTTATTTTTTTTTTGTCCAAAACACCAGTATTTTTTCTATATGAAAAGGCTTGATTCAGCAACCACTATAAACAATAACTTTGAAAATTGTTGTCCTCCTCAAAGATCTCTGCCACATGGCATAGTGTAAAATATGCAGTGCTGCTGTCTAAACTTTCTTCAGAAAAAGGCATCAGTAGAAAACGCTGGTTCATCAGTCTTTCCTATAATCCCATTCCTTCTCTAAGTTTGTTGTGCTAAAGACCGTAAAGAAACAGCCACTATTTTAGCAAGCTTCGCTATAGTCTACAAGACAGAAGAGTATGGCAGAATTGCTTTGATTACTACAAAGATATATCCAAAACACATAAGAGAACATGAAATTCAGAAATACAACACACATACAACATCCAGAACTAGAACTGCAGAACAGAGGACAGGGTAGGGGAAGGAAAGGTGATCAAAGTGTCACCAAATGATCCAGGAAAAAAAGGGTAAGATTTTTTCCTTCCCCATCAATAACATAGTACACTTCCTTTGCAACACATCATATACAAGCTATGTATGTCTATACAAGCTTATATTCTGAGCAGACATAGGCCTGGCAGTTTGCAAATGACAATAAACAGTGAGAGCCAGTGAAGATGGCTAATACAGTTGAAGTGGCACTACAGGAAAATGAGCACTGTATCACAAATTTGATACAAGGCCAAAATTGATACAGAGCTATTTCAAGCTCAGACAGCTTGCAGAAGGTAAGAAAACAATAAACAGGGGGAAAAAAAAGTAAAATGAGACTCTTTGTATTGCTAATATCTCATTTATGTTGTTGGAACTTCTAATTGATACTACTCCATTGCAATAAAGATTGGTATTGTCACAGTAACTCCTTGTCACAGACTACTGCAAGAAAGAGAAGCCTGAACTACTCAATCCTAAATAGAGCTGAGACACACAGCCTCTGAGGAAAGACAAGTATGTAAAACCTGGGGCAGAAGCAAGCAGTTGAATTAACTAAAAAAAGAAACTTTTACACATATATAATAGTACAAACAAGCCACTTATGACCAAGTTTATCCTACAATATTCTCACCAACTCTTGGATATGATGTGTTGTGAACACCTTGGAGAGTGGGACAATCTTCTTTTAAGCAAGTTTTCTTGTAACCCCCTTCTTCAATCTTGGTTGCACTCCCACATGTTGGGCAGAATCGGTATCGGTTGTGCCATGCTAGAACAGATCTAGCCTGGGCTACTACTCCTTTGAAAGAATACATTGAAAATACACAAAATCAAGTTCTAATTCATGTAAGCTTTTAACGGTATATAAAAAGCAAGTAGTAAAGTTTAACATAAAAGTCAGACTATGGCTCAAATTGTTATCTACTATATGAGAAGTTGAGCAGTATGCAATAGAACACAGGACTATGTAGCTACAGACCAATTTACGCATTCAGAAACAAATCCATCCAGATCACTATACTCTGCTTCTCAGAAAAGTTACTTTGTCTGGGCAAAGTGCCAGAATTATATATCATACCTTTTCCAGATGACCATTTTAGGACTACTACAGGTATTGACATAATAATGTATTGTTCTATTTAAATTTCAGATGCAAGTCAAGTTTGACATTTATTCATCTGTATAAGCAAAATTGTTATGACAGCAGTTGTTAAGATCATTTCCATAATGACATTAATTCACTTTGGGATCCTGACTTCCCAACACTTGGTCAGAGTTTCCTTCTCAGAGGAGTATCCAACACACTCTTATTAAGGACTTAATTTAATTTCCTGTAAGGAAAACTCAGCAAACGACAGATCTTTTCTTCATTTTAGAACATTAATGCACATGTATTAATATTTAAATAGAACCATTTATAAAACTATGACGATCAATAGATTTTTACAGTCCAATACTCGCCATTGCAGATGTTAGCCTTTTGCAACCGCCCATGTTCTTACACACAATATTCTTCACAAAATCACTGACAGGCTTTTAAAATTAAAATACTTCTAAAGCCACTGAAAATACCTGATTCATTTGCAGTGGTTTGCCCTTGCATTATACCTCAGTGAATCCCAAAGCGTATCTTTCTGATTACACATTTGATAACTGCTGCATTTTATGCATCTTACCAGCTTCTTTTTCAGGTAGCTGCAGTAGTGCTGGCATTGGTGGGTGAAGAAAGTAACAGTCCTCATGCTTCTGTTTAAATTTCTCAGCAGAAGCAGAATCTACACCAAGAGCAAACCAAGCAACTAACCCATCCTCTTCATCTGCTTGCAGAACTCTTCCATTGCAAGCAGCCAGTGGGTTCACGTGAAACTGAAGTTCAACTCCAAGAAAAATCAAAGTGCCTTCTTCAGTTTGGTTCATGCATTGCTCCACATCCTTGTGGTACAGCCTGCAAAGCTTTACTTTTGGCTGCTGGGAGCCATCTATTCCCCCACCCGAAGTAACAAAAGGACTTAGATTTGAGAAGACAATGTATACTGTAGTTGGATGGCTTTGTTTTTTGCTTAGCCACTGGGAATCTGTTCTTTTATCACCCCTTCTGTCCAGAAGTGTCAAGCCAAAATAATTTTCATATTCTTTCACTTCATTTGACAAAAAATTAGGCCTCTGCCCGCCCTTCACATTAGCCAACAAATTAGCTATGTGCTTGTACCCCCAAAATTTAGCAATGTCCAGAGCTGTCTGCCTTGATTTATTAATGATGGACCTGTCACACCTAGAGAAACAGAAAAATAACAGTGGTTACCATGGTAAATGTGTTTAGGAAGAATCGTGATGCTGTATTATCCTTACTTACAGCACATACAACTGATACTATATTAAGGTGCAAGAAATTTTAGATATCCTGTCTATACTGGGGCATTCTTTAGGCTAAATAGTTAGCATTATGGTAATGAAAAGTAATCACACTTAATTTTCTTTTGCTAAGGCCAGATTGCGTATTTTTATTGCTCCACTCCAGATTATCACTTACCAAGGTTCATGCAGTGCTACAACAGCAGTTAATTAATTAAAATCCCACACATTGTATCATGCAACCCCCCCCCCTAAAAAAAGGCTCAAGATCATTTCCAGAACTTTGAAAGCCAGGCTACAGGTCTCTTCTGAACAGATAGTAATAAAAAAAAGGGCAGTTTAACTAGCCTTACTTTCTAGAAGCTACTGAAAGCAGCATCAAAACACTTACAATAAAATATTTACCATTAAATAAGAATAAGAACACAGTCTCTGTTTAGTGAGAGAAGTAGCACCCTTATAACTGTATTGCTGGTCCCCATAGGGATTTCCTTGATACCAAAATGACTGCAAAATTACACAGATGAGGAAACATTGCCTCACAAGGGATATTTTAAATATTAGCAAAAAAAAAAAAATCTGAAATAGATTGGGGTTGATTGGGAAGTCAAAAATAATGCACTTTTATTTTTTGTCAATTTTAACTCAAGCCAATAAGTAAAACAGAAATTTCACTGTAAACTACACTTTATACAGTAGATGTGGGGCCAGACCCATCGGTTTTTAAAACCAGAAGACACCAGTATATTTGTGTTGTTTACACACACATAACCGTACCAAAGGCAAGACTGTTTTGACTTGAGATTTTATATTAAACTCAGTAGTTTTTGAGGGAGTTTGAGTATATTTTAGAAAAGCATTCAAAACTTAATTTAGAAGTGTTTGGTGCTGAAGAAGCTACCGTTGCCCATTAATCTTAAAAGATTAAGTCTCCTTTAGGCAAAATTTGCCTAATTTCGTAATTAATTTCCTATCTCTCAGCCACTGAATTTTGTTTTGATTTTGTCTTACCCCTTCTATCCTCTCAGGTACATGCAGATTGTGATCAGGCTGCTATTCAATGTCCACAACAGTGGTCTGAACTCTTCAGATCACTAAGATTTTTTTTTTCCAGTCTACAAACATTTCTCGTAGCTTTTCTCAAATATGAATGAATAAAAAAAAAAACCTTATTCACTAGCTTTTGAGGGTTACTTTCTGGAATGTTATGTAATATTACCTTCACAGACATTTACATTTTTATATCCAGCAATTGTATTTGTCCAAAAGATTATTATGACTAAGTATCAACCAAAATGAGATCAACGAGGTCACAGTATCTCCATAGGAACTATATTCAACCGCCTAAGAGAACAGCCCTGAAAAGGACATTTACAGATATTCACTCTTTGTTTTTACAGTAAGCAAAACTTCAAAAACCGTTACCTTGTTTACCAAACTGGTAAATTGCCCAAAACCTCAAAAGATTCCTCAACCTTTCTTTGGTTTTCAATCCACAAAATCTGGCATGGAGATACCCCGCTACATGCTGGAATGTACTGATTACAGTATAAAACAGCAATTCGTATGACACTCCATGATGAGCCTCAGCACAGGGCACTGCATCTGAGTAGGACTGAAAAAAACAAAGGGTAGGATGATCACTGGAGGCTGTGGAATGCTGTGCCTGAGATTACTCATAACCACAGAATGAATTAAAGTTGCTTCATTCTGTAATTAGGGGTGCAGAAAGGAACAGACTGGGCTTGATTAAAGTAGATCTCAATTTAACCGCAACACCTGACTCTCACCCTTCATTTTGAAATGTTTTCAATTTGAAATATCTGGATCCTGACTTTATTCAGGCTTCAGAAGTATCTTCTTTTGGGTCTCACGGACAACGTCGAAACACTCCATAACTCCTAAATTAAGGTTTGAATGCTTTTCTGAGTGTCTTGAAAAACTAGAGCTACAATAGTTGACTTCAAGAAAGGCAACAAATATGACAGCAAGTTTTTGACAAGCTATGAACATGCTTGGTGTCATATTGACTGAAGAAAAAAACATGACAGTTCAAGCAGGAAGGAGGATGTGAATTGTCCGAAAAATAAGACCCAAACGAAATCCACCCATCAGTAATTTTGGTAAAGATATGTCTGCCCTGTCACACTTAACAGCCAACACATCAACAATCATTCTGCACTGGAACATAAATGCAAGCAGGTAACAAAGTTTAGAGAAAAAGTCTAAATGGAACAATCACATATACTAAATTTATATTCAGCACAGTGGCTGGAATGGGATACAAACTTAGTTCCATTCTGTTGGTCTCTGGAAAGAGGGACAATATATCCTTGAAGATCAAAGGAGTAATTTTAGAGATGCTCACAACTTCTAAAGACTTTCTAAACAAATATGAAAGCACGATGCAATAGAAGAATCCAGTTATAAAAAGACACAGAGTATATTTTCCTGAGTTTTAATCCTGAAAATTTTGCCACTATCTGTCAGCTGAATTTACTTTTCTGAGATCAAGTTGAAATGGGCAGAAAGACATTTCAGGTTAGAGCTCTTCAATGGGATTTACTAAATAGCTTACCCTTCTTCAAGAAGAATCCGCACAACCTCAAGGTGTCCATTTCTGGCACCATACATCAGGGCTGTCCAGCCATTATCTGCAGCTGCATTGATAAGTGACGGAGAATGACTAAGCAATGCTTTCAGTTTGGCTCCATCTCCAACAGCAGCAAAATTATGCAGCTGAGAAATTATGTCCTGACGGAGGTTCTTTTCAAAGTCTGTCATTGTGTCAACTAAGTTAAAAAAATAAAACAAAAATGCCTGAAAACGTATCTACCATTAGTGAAAGGATTTGAGTAAAAGAGTTAAGTTTAATGCATTACAGACAACAAACACTATCACCAAAAGTATGGACGCAATAGTAAAATTCTTCTAATTAGTGTGACGTTGTTATTTCCAACATCTACATTGTTAGTCCCACACATCTACAAATACAGTCAAATTCTATCTTAATAATCAAAACTAGTTTTAAAGAGGGAAGAAATGTCTTGCTAGAAAAATGAAGCTTCGTTGAATGTGAAAAACACGTTCTGGTTTGCTGATCGAACACACCCACACACGACAGAACCATACAAAACCTTCAAGAAGTTAGTCTCAGGTGCATTGGACATAATGAAAAGTAATCGCAAGGGGGCACGTCCCTTTGCAGGCTGAGGGACTCCTCCAAGCAGTGTCATACTACTTCAGGAACTTCTGCTATGCCTCCAGCGGCTGCCCACCCCTCCGTCCCGGGGCAGGGCCGCTGGGTCCGCTGCTGGCACCCGGCACCTCCGCGAAACAGCGAAAGCTTATGTTCATTAGCGCCCACTCCACGGTCACGTCCCAAAGACACACACAAACGCGCAATACGTCCTCCACCGGACCCAACACCGGCACGACCCTGCAACCGCCA